AGCATCTATGGCGGGGATGATGTAGCAACATCCAGAGAATGAGTAACTATATCCAATGCAGGGAATTCACTTCAACGTTACCTTCAACTTGGTGGCCGAATTTTAACAATTGTGTCCTGGAAGCCCCACACCTGTAAGTTGGTAAGTACTTTGGAGTAAGATCTTTTGGTCTGGTTTCCCTGTTCCTTTACTTACTTCATGATCAACTAAAATTCTGTTAGTTCCCATATTTTAACAAGGAAATTGTTCCATCCCTATGGTATCTGTCACATTTTCAAAGCAGATGGGAAAACAAATAGTTCTAATGGCACTTACTACTTTTATATATTTATTGATAATAGGCAGGTAATATAATATAGTTTTTTCACAAATACGGGCATTCAGTTATTATAAATATTACTTCAGATTTCAATAGCTCTTCCACATGATGACCTCAAATCACTTTACAAACAATAGTGAATGCATCTTCCCAGTAACCAAGGATGGGAGATACTAATAGCCCCACTTTACATGTGAGAAAACTGAGGCATAGACAGATTAAGTGGTTTATCCATGGTCATGCAGGATGGGCATTGAACTCAGATCTCCTGACCTACTGGCAGTTTAATCTCAATTTTTTTTTAACTTTTAAAATGCTATTTCAAATTTTAAAAATAGAAACAAAACAAGCTATTATTCCCTGCAATGGAAGAGGCATTGTTGGTACCTTGGTTACCTGGAAGAATAGTGCCTTTGGCTCTATACAGAAACTCATTTGGATTTATTCTGTAGTACATATGTCCTGGATAGTCTGAGCTTAACTTCTGTAATATCAGCAAAAGATTTGGGTTGTCTGCCAAAGCTCTTGTTAAATGAGCCCCTACAAGGGAACTCATTCACCTCCAATTCCAATTCTTCATGTGTCAAGGGAGCAGCCAACTTCCCATGGGATCTTAGTAAAACATTCCAGCAGGGATCCATAGATATATGGTTGTTAAAAGCTCTGAGCAGCACCACAATTAAAAACAAATTAACAGGAAATCTGAAATTGCCTTCAGAGTTGTTCCTTTTTTTGTGTCACCTCTCATAAATCGCAAATTGCCTGTGAAATGCGACTGAATATTCCGAATAGCTACAATATCAACAAACCACTGTAAAGAAGTCACAGAACTTGTGGAGGGCTGTAATTCCTTTTCTGGGATGTAAGACTTGAGGATAGCCTTGGCTGTAATGATTGTGTTGTGACTTAAAAAAAATTATTTAATGAACTGGAAAACAGGAGTACCGTGGTTCAGGGGTTGCTACTGTGTTTATTATGGACACATTCCTATTAACAATCATTGCTAGCATAGGCGTTCCCATGGTACAGCATTCCTAGTGGACCTGTAATGAGCAAGTAATGTTTACCTGAAAAATTCCACCTGTTAGAGAAAGCAGAGCCTGTTTAATCCTGATTTACTGAGGCTGGTGATCATTACAGCACCCAGATAATGAAGGAAGGTGAAAATGGATCTCTAGAAACAGAAGATCTAGAGTGTGGGCTGAACATTCATGAGGTAGGAATCCAGGAACAACTGAGCCTCTGGCAAAGGCTCAAGCTAAACTTCAGGTTATCTTATTCATGTATTTGTTAATAAAGCCCAGTCCAAGGAACTGGGTGAATTTTTGGCTTTACACAGCATTTTGCTTTACTTTGCTTCAAAGTAGGTTGAGAAAGGCATAAAAAATTTAGTATCAAAATACTACAGTGGTGGAATACGGTTTTAGCACAAAATGTATAGTATTGAAATTTCCTTTAGAACATTGGCCGTTACTCAGTGTTTCAAACTCTCATAGTTTTATCATGTGTCTTTATCATGCTATTTAATGTTTTACTTAAAGCCCTGGCTCCTGCAGACAAGTGATTATGTGAGAATCTCAGCTTTCATTTGAAAACTAAGTACATTTTTAGGTCTCATGATTCCAAGAAAAGCTTGAAAATGCGTCTCAATTGCATGCTAACAGCTCAGAAACAGAAGGCAAAGAAAAAGAACCCAGCATTTATTTTTATTTAAAAACAAACCTAACTTGTAAGTCAGTCTCAGGATTTTTTGGGAACCTGTCTCACGATTTTTGAATGTTCAAGGTTGGCAATACTGCTTACTTTTCTTGGATAAAAAAACATATCCTAGTTACATACTACATCAGACAGTCCCATGATCAGGGATTGTCCTAGTATGCTCTTATTTGCTCATCAGTTACTGAGATCTTTATCAACCTTTTTTTTTTATCATGTTCTTACATCATAAAGATTCTCAAACCCAGCAAATTTTGGGACATTTCTTCCTCATGTGTTGATATTTTTGTTTAATCCAAAATCCACTATGGGCTAATTCCTGCTACCTTATTTATGCAAAACTTTCATGGGTGAAATTCATCCTTGTGTAGAGGGCTAGCATATGGCCTGTAGGTCATTTAAAGTGTATTTTAAGAGGTGTAAATAGGTGTTAAGTGATATAGGCCTAGGGCTGGCCTTCTCAAGAGGGAAGAGTTTCACCCCATATGAGTATCCTATATAAGTAAAAGTATCCTTGCTGTTGATATGGAATAATGCATTCACCAGATAATGGGTGTTGAAGCAAAGAAGGGTTAAATTTGACCACATCTTTCTTATATTAATCCTGGAAAGCAATATGAAATTCCTCAAAATCTTTTGACTAGGACATAATAGTTTCCCTCCAATAGGAGGCATAGACTTGCCCCTTTCAAGCACTAACTTAACCATAATGCAGAGGAGGGGAACCAGGATCATGTTTGAACAAGAACATTAGGCAGGGGACAATTCTGACTAGAAATTCAGTTGTGGACAATACGGATGTGGCCATTGTTTTCTTATCCTCATCTCAAGAAAAGAACGTAATTCAATTATCTATGAGTTTCTTGTCTCCCTGACAGTGGGAGTGACAATTATCTATGGTTCTGTGGAGAATACAAGAAAAAAGATTATTATTATTATTGTGTTCAGTGGTTACATTACATTCAGAAGCAGGAACAGTGCTGGACAATGGAATCTGCTGAGGTGGATTCTTTTTATCCCTGCTGCTGCTGACTGAATAGTAAATAAAGGTTCATCAACATCCTGGCAGGAGTTATCATGGGAATGAAGTAGAACAGGGATTATAATGGGATTGTAACAGGATGGTAAGGTTCTTCTGTTAACCCACTGTGTTAGGTGGTGGTGGAACTGTGTGTGGAGATGCTCACTGAGCACTGCACGCTTCCTGGGCAGGTAGGTGCCACTCATTGGAGATAAAGGAGAAGGAGATGGTTCTCTGATCAAAAGAATCCATGGGGTGGAGGAGTCTTAGACCTGCGGAGGGAAGCTTGGACAGTACTTTGTGTTTGCTTTGTATTAGTTTTTTAATAAAGCCAAACTCCAAGAAGGGGTGAGTTTTGGTTCCACAATGTCTCTTGATTATTTTGGAGCGGGTGGAAATGCCACTTGCGTATACAGTTATGGGTTGCTGGTTCAAACTATTTGATTTGGGCCCAATTAGTAGTGAGGGAAAACTCTTACCAAATGGTTACCTGGGGATCGTGTAGAATTATGGAGAAGTTTCAGTCCAGTGCCTAGTGGACAAGTTTCCATATTACAAAATCACTACCAGGGCACCACAATGTTCATCCTCGTTGGCAGTCTCAGTAGAGAGGACAATGGCTGAGCAGTGAAACTGAACCACTCACTCGCCCCTTCTGGGGAGGTCCATCCTGTTCAAACTTCAGCACATTATTGCAACACTAAGAGTATGTCTTCACTACAGGGTTAATCCGGGCTCTTACTTGGATGTTGCCCATAACCCCCCTTTGGTCCACACACACAGCCTTTCTCCCGAGTTCCAGGGTGCTTTCAACCTGAGTTACTTGGCACGGCTGGAGGTGTGGATTAGAGCTAGGCTTCACTTTCACTCAGGCTGATAATCCATCCAGACAGGCTAAATCACTCAAGTGTTGATAGTCCTCCAATGCCTTCCCACAATTCCTCCTGTATGCTCAGAGACAGACAAGTTCTCACATAATCTTCTGGGAAAGAATCAGAGTGGCTCAGCTTACTCAAGCACAAAAGAACCCAGAAGTCTTAGCGACACACATGGATGCGTGCAGCACCAGTGACTGCACAGTAACTTGGGTAGGACTTTGACCCCAGATGTGAACAGCTGTAATGCACCCAGGCTATCTGTAGTGAAGATATAGCCTAAGGGGCAACTCCACTTCTGCTATGCATTCTGTACCCTTTCTGTGGATAAAGAGAGGACTGTCATCATCACAGAGGGGAAATAGGCCAGTACCTTTCACAAGCACTAAATTCATTTTTAAAAAAAGCAATGGAAAGGAAAACAAGATATGAAGATTCTTCACCAGCCCTTCTGTGGAATGTAAAATTTGCTCCAGGGTTCTAAGCTGCTTAATGAGGCCAGTAGGAGTCAAAATAACTGCTTTTCATCTGAATGAATTTGTTTGAGCTTTTCCCCCACCACACACACTTCTTGTTTGTTTGTTTATTTGGTTGGTTGGTTGGTTAGTTGGTTGGTTTTTTAAAGTCACTCTTGTTAATTATCCTGCATGCACGAGATATCCAAGAAAGCTGACATAGTAAAGTTATATACAGCATCTCGATGACCTCTTTGCAATGAAGATAATATCTGTCCAATAAAGCCTTGACAAAATGACAGTGACAGCTGCATTGTGGTATTCAGTTTGAATTGAACAGGTCTGTTCAGCAGTGTTGGGAGCAAGCCTTTCATTACAATCTGCAGCACCAAGAAAAACAACTTAAACCCATCCTAAAAAAGTGAAATTTTCCCTCCGTGGCTACAGAAGCTGGTTTGGGTAGACAGAAGCAGGTGCTTTTCATAGTCTTCTCCATATCTCTTTGGTCTGATCTTTCTTACTGTCTTCAAAAGGCTGCAATCCTCTCTTCACTACTGACTTTAAAAGGGAAGGAAACCTCACTTCTTTCAAAAGCAACCGCAGTCTGGAGTGTTATGGGAGCTGAACACTCGAAGGACCAGCGTCCGAGAAGAATGCTTTTGCTGGGGAAAGGTCAGAGACTTCCTGCATGGGAAGAAGCTCTTCTCTCAGGAAAAGACCCAAAGTCATTGCTGAAGCGTGGGTTACATTATGTCAGTCTGAGCCTCATAATGAAGGGGATGACAAATGTGCCTGATTTTTTGTGGGGCTTGTCGGAGGTGCAGAAGCTGAACCTTTCACACAACCAGCTGATGGCTCTTCCTACAGCTTTGGGGAAACTAGACAGATTAGCGGTGCTGAACTTGTGTGGCAATCGCCTCAAGTGTCTGCCAAAAGAGACCGGGCTCCTCAAAAACCTGAAGGTTTTATTTGTCGATATGAACTGCCTGAGTGAAGTGCCAGCAGAGCTCAGTCTGTGCACAAAGCTGGAAGTTTTGAGCCTTTCACACAATTGCATCTCAGAACTCCCTTCAAGCCTCACTGATTTGACAAGCCTAAGGAAGCTGAATCTGAGTAACAATTGTTTCATTCACATTCCCTTATGTGTTTTTGCATTGAGGGGTTTAGATTTCTTGCACTTAGGCTCCAACAGACTTGAAAACATTGCAGAAAGTGTCCAGTACCTGGTAAATTTGCAGATCTTTATTGCAGAAGATAACAATATTCGCACCTTGCCACGGTCTCTCTGCTCCATCGCTGCACTTGAGTTACTAAATGTAGCTTACAATTCTATTCAGACCCTTCCAACTGATCTCTATCTTCTGCACAGATTGCCAAAAATTGCTTGGAATCCAATGGATAAAGGGCTCCATATTTCACATAACCCATTGTCCAGACCACTGCCAGAGATTGTAGAGGGAGGACTGGATGTGCTCTTCAACTACCTTAAAGAGAAAAATCAACACAACTAAACTTGCACTGTGTTTGGGATTAACGCTGTCACCAAGACTTAATCAGTGGTTTCCATTTCAGAACACAGGGAGACGATAAAGACTAAAGATATTTTTAGTAACATTTGCTGAAAGCAAGTGAAATCTGACTATCTAGTTTAACTTTGCATAGAGTGTATTTTCTAAAACATCCCTCTCTGTAAGTTTTTCAGTATTTGGTGTGTCTTTTAGGAAAAACTGTGGTCAAAATTTTGCTCTTTATTATAAATAAACAAATTAATGCAGGCCATTAGCATTGTAAAGGGTACATTTGTAATCTTTCAGCCTGCATTAATATTAATATAAATGGGATTTACTGTATGTGGTGCGCATTTGCACTTTAATTCCTGTTCATTTCTTCCTACACAGATAAACCACTCCACAAACATGCACTGCAATCTAAGTGACTTTCAAGGGGGAACATTTAATTTATTCACAAAAGAGATTTGCTAATATGTCTCAAACTCTATTAACGGTCAGACATTACATTATTGGTGTAGTTCAGTGGTTCCCAAACTTGTTCCGCACTTGTGTAGGGAAAGCCCCTGGCGGGCCAGGCTGGTTTGTTTACCTGCCGCGTCCACAGGTTCGGCCGATCGCAGCTCCCAGTGGCCGCAGTTCGCTGCTCCAGGCCAGTGGGGGCTGCTGGAAGCGGCGCGGGCCGAGGGACGTACTGGCCATGGCTTCTAGCAGCTCCCATTGGCTTGGAGCAGCGAACCATGGCCACTGGGAGATGCGATCGGCCGAACCTGCGGGCACGGCAGGTAAACAAACTGGCCCGGCCCACCGGGGCTTTCCCTGCACAAGCGGCGGAACAAGTTTGGGAACCACTGGTGTAGTTCAACACCGTATAGCTATTGACCAGGATGGGCAGGGATGGTGTCCCTAGCCCCTGTTTGCCAGAAGCTGAGAATGGACAACAGGGGATGGATCACTTGATTACCTGTTCTGTTAATTCCCTCTGAAGCACCTGGCACTGGCCACTGTCAGAAGACAGGATACTGGACTAGATGGACCTTTGGTCCGATTCAGTATGGCTGTTCTTAAGTTCCATTTTACAGCTATGAGCTAACCACTATAAATTACAGATAAAGTTTGAAGGCAGTTGCGGGCTCTCCCAATTGTTTGGATCAAATGTCCTCAAAGGTAAACAAGTCTCCCACCCCACAACATGGAAACTTTCCCACAAAGGCTCCCAGGGCCCCTACACCAGTACATCACAGAAACCTGGCCCATCAGAACTTCTAGGTGGAATTCACATATGCTTTCATGAGATGTCATCATTCTTCCAAATGAAGATTGTCTGAATAAGATGTGACTAATATTACTAGACGAACAACTGCACTCATTTCCTTTCCACACTTCCCTACAATTTGAGCCATGAAGTAACTTTATTCAGGAGAACTGAATAACATTTTAGGTGAACTGAAAGTATTTTTCTATCAGGGAAGCACTATCCATGCCATCATCAGCCTGTGAGAGCCTCAAAACCAACTACTTCTGTAATGTTCAGCATTAGCAGGGAGCATAAAAGTCATGTCTGATGTAGTTCTATATATTGATCTTTTGTAAATGACCTTCATTAAAATTTCATACTCAATAAGAGCTATTAAAAGCTGTTCAACCTAATTCTCCTGTCAAACCAGTTAAACAGGCTTAGCAGAATTCAATTTTAATTTTTTTAATATAATTTTGACAGAATATTACTTATTTTTAAGCATTTTTCAATTTTCATCTATTTAAATTTTCAGTTGCTGGAAGTTATGGGTGCATCAAACAATAATTATTTAATGACAGCAGATAGATTCAAAAAGTTAAAGCTTTATAACTGTTAAAACACAAATTGTCAACATCAGGTTTCAAAACATACAAGAAAATATCCTTAAACTCTAATACATTCACAAGTTCTCACTTAGCCTAGCTGTAAATATCTGTTATCAATGGATATATTTTTCATTGGTTTGTATGTGTATGGTGCATTTGACATTTACCGATAAAAATCTAATCCTTCCAAGCCTTAATATAAATCTGGAGTAACTCCACTGAGGTCAGTGGAGACACACTGGTGTAAATCTGGTAAAAATGAGAGAAAAAGCAGGTCTATTGTTTTTTAAAAAATTAATTAAGAAAATACAGAAAACCTTTGAGAGTTTCACTTCTTATGCCAAATCTCAGAAATCACTGGTTCTCAAATTTAATTTGTTCTCCATCTGTAGTTGTGGGAGGTCGATCCTGCCCCCTCAGTGAAGTTAATGGAAAACAACTGACTGCTGTGAATAACCGTTTGTTTTGCTGGCGGCAGGAACAGCCTAATATCAACAAACAATTAAATAATTTGTGGATAAACGCAATGTACTTTGTAAGTTGTGAAGCCAACAGCTTCAGCTGTTACTCTAGTGCTGAGGTACAAATGCAGTATTGAACATAGAGCTAAAGATTCTGCTAATTAAAGGGGTGAGAACTGGTTACCATAATTTTTGATGTTCGTATAGTTTGCATCTCACTTGGTTTTAGTAACACAGGAATTTCAGTGCTACACTTAGCAATTGCAGTTTTCAAGTGTACAATTAAGGATTAAACCCTGTGTTCCTAGCAAAGGGAGAAACCTTTCTAAAAGGCATTTCAGTTTGAGGAGCATACAAGAAAATGAACAAACCTGCTGTGTATCAGACAGCAAAATGTAGTCATTACGAGATTTGTTAATGTAAAATAAGCTTGATGAATACGTTTACTGCATACCCAGGCTTTACACTTATTTATTTATTTTTACTCAAGTAACAGGATATATAGTAAGTTCTGCTTTTTATGAACTTTTATTGAGCATAAATTTGTGTTTCATACAGTGATAAGTGAAGCAATACTGCAATTATTAGTAGTGAAAGATAAATATAACCCCTGTTTTTATTTCAGGCATGGATTTATTATATCTTTGAATGTCCATTTCACAAGCTCTAAATTTTCCACTGCATGTGAGTGTTGCTAGCCATGCATTAGAGGTCTACAGTAAGGTTAAATGCCCGTGACATTAATCACCTGGAAAGTTTCTTCCTCCCCCTCCCTCCCCCATGTATCAGTACGCAAGGATACTATGACACTAATTTGTACATGAGATGAATTGACTGGGATCACTATTCACAATAATGTATATGGAAGGTGGAGAGACAGGTCAAGATGATTTGTGCCTGAACTACAACTCCCATGAAGCATCACAGTGGCATTTCCAAATAGAAATTTTTGGATTTCAGCCAAAAGCTTTTAAATTTCAACTGAAAGGTTTTGAATTTGGGTTGAAAAATCTCAGCATTTTCTGTAAATTTTTTGTTTTGTGTTCATCAAAATTTTTCCACAGGAAAAAATCATTTTCTGAGCAGCTGTAGTATAAATATGCAAAATCACATAATTGTATGGCCTTATTCATTTTAACCTGTGCTAAGGTATGAATAGCTTGCATTCAGTTCCAATTATTGTACTGTAAGTAATTTAATGAAAAAACAGTAAACAACAGACTTTTAGACTTTAAGGCCAGAAGGGACATTGTGATCATCTAATCTGACCTCCGGTATAGCACAGCCCATAGAACCTCACCCACCCACTCCCCTAGTAGGCCCATAACCTGAGCCTGAGTTACTGATGTCCTCAAATCTTGATTTAACGAATTCACATTACAGAGAATGCACTATTCACTGTAGTTCAAAGCAGCAAGTGACCTGTGCCCCAGGCTGCAGAAGGTGAACTCCCCCATGACTTCTGCCAATTTGACCTTGGGATAATTTCTTCCTGACCCCAAATATGGTGATCAGTTACTAGTTAGACCCAGGGCATGTCCACGAGACCCACCAGCCAGACAGCTGAGAAAGAATTGTCTGTAGTAACTCAGAGCCCTCCCCTTAAGCTTATGCTCAAATAAATTGGTTAGTCTCTAAAGTGCCACTAGTACTCCTCTTCTTTTTGCAAATACAGAATAACACGGCTGCTACTCTGAAACCTATCTCCAGCTGTTGTCTAATTAGCGAATAGCAGTTGCAGATATATGGCCATATGCCATGGTAGGCAATCTCATTTTATCATCCCCTCCATAAACTTATCAAGCTCAGTGTTGAAACAAGTTAGGTTTTTCCCCCAACTGCTCCCCTTGGAAAGCTGTTTGAAAACTTTGCTCCTCTGATGGTTAGAAATCTTTGTCTAATTTCATGCCTGAACTTATTGATGGCCAATTTATATCCATTTGATCTTGTGCCAGCATTTCTCCTCAACTAAAATAACTACTCTCTCTCTAGTGTTTATCCCCCCGATATATTCACAGAGAGCAATCATATCTCTCCTCAGCCTTAGTTTTGTTAGGCTAAACATGCCAAGCTCCTTAAGTCTCACCATGTAAGGTAGGTTCTCCATTCATCTGATCATTCTAGTAGCCTTGCTCTGCACCTGTTCCAGTCTGAATTAATCTTTCTTAAACATGGGAGACCAGAATTGCGCACACAGTATTCCAGATTAGGTCTCACCACTGCCTTGTATAATGGTGATAACACTTTCCTGTCTCTACTGGCAATACCTCACCTGATGCATTTGCATTTGTAGGACTGCATTTGCCTTTTTCACAGACTCATCACATTGGCAGCTCATAGTCATCCTGTGTTGACTAATACACCCAGGTCTTTCTCTGACAGTCACTTCCAACTGAAACATCACCAGCTTATAGCAAAAATTCTTTTGTTTAGTCCCTAAGTGCATACCCTGCACTCCTAAATTTCATCCCATTTCCATTACTCCAGTTTTCAAATTGTCCAAATCCTCCTCCCTGTTGGCAATACCTCCCAACTTTGTCATCTGCAAATGTTGTTAGCACACTCTGACGCTTTTGTTGCCATGCTTTCCCATTCCCACTGCTCAAAGGGGAGGGAGGGGTGGGTCACGTGGTATAGGCTCTGTGTTCCTGGGCTGCCCTGCCAGAGCCAGCTCTAGGGAAATTGCTCCCCTCATCC